ATGACCCTTAATCTGGAATTGGTAATCGATTTTATGAAATATCTTGGTATCACATAACCAAAGAAGATACCAAAGAAGACATGAATTTTTATTTTGGCTACTGCAATTGTCTGTCCATAGTTTAATTTCTTTTGCTTTGCCTATTACAGAAACAAGAAAATGATTCAACATCAAAGTAACTTCATTTAGCCCTTTTGATGCTTTACTCTCGGTATAAATTGTGTGCCAATATTTATCGATACCTTCATCTACTAAGCCAAATTGATGTATTTTTAGCAATGATAGATAATACCATAAGCTGGGCTGTTTAGGATTATGAGGTAATTCTATATTTTGGGCAAAGTTAAATAAAAAAACACAAAAAGAAGAATGGTCACTGCTTTTTGCTTTTTGTATATCATTTTCATAGACCTCTCTTATTTTCTGATAATCTGATACATGAGTTATTAATTGCTCATCAAGATCTTCATTTATATAATTGCTACTTACTTTTAATGCACATTTGTATAAAGTGCATTTATCACATACATCTTTGGGTGGTTTTCTTATTATTATTTTACTAAGCTTAGCATTATTTCTCATAGTTGTCAAAAAGTCCAACAGCTATTAATAAGGTTTTCCAAGTTCATTAAATTGTAAAAATCAAGAAGATGACTATAAGAATAATGAGATGATAAAAGAATAACATTATCTTTTTCATAATTTACAGTTATTTGCTTATCTTTTTTTTACATATGTATTTTCGAACAGCCTGATTTTCACCATGTTGGTTGCCAAATGATTTAATAAAAAATCTAGATTTATTAGCTATTTCAATAGGTAAGATATTTTTAGGCTGACGACCAGTATTACTATGAGTTTTGGGCAACATTGATTTATGTTCTTGAATCCAACTAAAGATACGTTGAATAATCTTTGGGCCACACATCCAAAATGTTTGAAAAAAATAAGGACAAACATTACCAAAATGAGGAAGCTGATAACTTCTAATTTTATCTTCTTTTATATATGAATCAAAATTAGAAGTAGCAAGAAGTATTGACATCAAATGGTAATGTTTTTTTTGCCTATAGTAATACTTTCTAATGCCAAAGATTCTAATAATGTTAATGAAACCTTTTCATCACATTTTTCTTTGCATTTACAACACTATTAGAGTTTCTTAACAAGATTTTTTAAGGCCATTGAAAGAGTTTTATTAGGATCTGTAAATATGGTGTCCTCATCACTTGTATTTTCTAATTCTTCATCAGAGCATGAATCCTTCTCTATTTCATCATGATCCAATTCTGAAGTAGGTTCATCATGAGTTTCAAAAAACTAATCCAAATTTTCTGAAAATTCTATTATGAATTAGTACGAGTATAAAAAAATTATTGAGATTTTTCTTAATTACAAATTTAATTAATTGCTTGTGTTCTGAAGAATTGGGTCTAAAGCACAGTACTTATATATGTTTGTTATTTTATAAATTTGTTCAACCAAATCGATAATTATTGATATCAGCTAACATAAAATCAGCTGAATGAATTTAACTATAATTGTTAATTTTTTATTATACAGGATTTATTTTTAGGTTTAAGAAAAGTCAACAATAGAGTCAATAAAGCTCAATAGATGCTTATTTATTGAATACTATTCAGATTTTTTTAATAATGCCCAATAGATACTTATCTATTAAGTTATTCCTGAGTTCTGGTATTATTAAATTACTATAGAGACCTATTTAATTTTTATAAAATGGTAAAAATGGGAAATCGAACTTTGAAAATTAGATCCAAAAAAAAAAATAAAAATTTATTTGTATAATGTTAATAATAAAAAAAATTAAAAAATTGATATTTCATATAACATTTATTAATAAAATATACAAGCATAATTTCTTTATATAAAATTTGCTCAAAAAATTGCGTACATATTGTTATATTAAAAATTAATGCTTCTGCTAATCAATGAAGCCAAATGTTTGATACATGCATATATATTTTCTACCACTTTTACTAAAATGCCCCTATAGTGTTTTACCACCTATGTTGCATTATCTTAAAAACCACCTTACTAATTAATACGCGATACTCTAAGAAAAAATGCTCTACGTCCCCAAAATCCTTCCTAAACCTTAATTCTAGCATCAAATACTAACCCCCACATAAAAAATTTGTGCTAAAATTTTATATAAACTATATAATAAGTGCAAAATCACTATAGGTACGTTTTATAATATATGTTTTCTACAATATAAGTAAATTTATATTAGAACATAAAGGAATAACAATCTAAATTGTTATAATATTGAACTACACAATAAAAAATTCATATCACAATTTTTGGAGTATTATTCTGGCCCTCTCTTGTGTTTCTTGTTTCAGCTTGGCAACATTGTAGCAATCAGCCTTTGTAACAAAAATAGGATATGGATCAACTGTTTTACAAGTTTGCGCTTAACTTTACCTACGTTATCTGTGAATCCCGAATTTAACTGCTTTCACTCAATTTACTATATACCTAACCGTCCACCTTATGTTTAGCGAAGTGGAGGTGGCAGCCATAGCGTAGCTGAGTTATGTTGGAACCTTTGTGTAGCCTTTTGCTCGATCTTTAAAAAGTTATTTGTTTGTAGTAAAATGGAATTTCGAAATGTTTAATTAAAACAATGTCTAAAAAAATGCGAGTCACCGATAATTTTTAGGGGTTTATTATAAAATTTAAAATCCGATGTGGCGTCAATCAGAAAGTCAAATATTCTATAAAATGTATAAAAGTCCGATCGGCCCTTTTCCCTTGGCAGCACTCATATATCCTTTATACTCACTTGCTAAATTAATTCGGATATAATGAAATTAAATATTTATGGATTGAATGGCTTAATTTGAATACCTTGATTTATACTTAAATTTCTTACCTAAATCAATATGAATAAAATAAAATTACATAATCATGAATTTCAATAGCTTATTTAAATTAACATTAGTAAATATTCTTTATACTTACTTGCTAAATTGGCATGAAAATTAAATATATATGAAATTGAAAGGCTTATATATTAATTAATATCTTTTATACTCACTCGCTAAATTAACATGAATAAAATACTATAATAATTTCTTTAAATAATCTATTGATAAAAGTTCTGCAGACTTACCAACTACAATAAATAAATATGTTTTAAATAAAATTAAAATTTGAACTTTAAAAGCTTATTTTTAATATAATTTTTTTATACTTACTAACTGCAATAAAATAACATAAATAAAGAAATTGCATTTATAAACTTGTTTTTAACATAAAAAATTAACGAATATTCCTTATACTTACTTACTAAATTAAATAAATTAAAAATAAATATTCATAGATAGTTCATTTTCAATAGATAGACTATAAATGTCTTCTATATTTACGCACTGTAGTGAATTTAATGAAAATTAAATAAACAATACAGCAATAACTTGAATACAATGCGTGTTTTAAATACGTAGATTGATAAATATGTCCTGTACTTACTAACTGAGTAAAAGCATAATATACAATTAAACATTTTTGAATAGTAATTAATAAATGTTTTTTAATACTTACTGACTAAATTAATATGAATAAAATGAAATCAAATATTTAAAAAACTTAAATAGTTTATTTTAAAGCATAGATTAATAAATGTTTTTCATACTCACGAACTAAATTAAAAATAAAAGAAATTATAAAACAAAAACTTAAATATATAAAATTAATGAAAGTTTTTATACTCACTCTCTATATTAATGTGATAAAATGAATTTTAATTTTCGTAAACATTACTTATTTTACATGCATGTTCTTTATACTCACTCGCTAAATCAATGAATAAAAATACTTAAAAACTTCAAATATCTTACTTTAAATACATAGATAGATAGCTAAATGGTTTTTTATACTCACACACTAAATCAATATTAATAAAATGAAATTGATGAAATTGAATATTTACAAACATGAATATCTTACTTTAGATAAATTTCATTATACTTACTCATTAAAGCTAAATTAATACAATATAAAATTAAGTTAACTATTCATGAATTTGAATAATTTATTTTAAATGCAATGAAACATGCTTTTATACACACCAACTAAAATTATTAAAATAAAATTTAATTGTGACTTATTTTAAATCACCGATAATTTATACTCACCGACTATTAACACAAAAAAATAATTTTGAATAACGAATTAAACAGATATTATGAATTTTTGCCAATGGGGGTTTCAGAGTTAACTTAATTTGAAAATAAGTGGGAGCTTGAAAAGTTCTATTTTCGCTTTGAAATTTCGAAATCAGAAAATGAAAAAGGAGCTATCCGGAGATAAAACAAACAAACTTTTTTGCTAATATATATTATAACTTATTATACAATAGGCTTGCAAATAAATATAAATACAGAAATAGTATTTATAGATCGCTGATTACAAAATTAATACGTCATAAATTAATTCGAAATCAGAAACCTGAACTTTAGGTCTGAAACCCCCTAATAAAATATTTTTATACTTAGAATAAATCGGTTTATTGCACGGGTCTTATGTAACAACCCGTGCTTTTTTCATTTACTTATTGGCACGGGATTGTACGTCAGACACCGTGCAATAAAATAGTTATTATATGGGTTATAAAATAACTAAATTTTGCACGGGCTTACATGGCCGAAGGCCATGTAACTTAACCCGTGCAAATTTAGATATTTTTTACAACCCATACAATAATTAACATACTTACTCCCTAAATGGTTAAAAAAATTTAATTTTAAAATTTAAAAAATAGTATTGAACAAAAAAATTTAAAAAATGATCTTACTTAAAAATCCAATCATTGAATTTGTCCTTATCTTCTGCAACACCAATTCCATAATAGTAACAAATAGCAGTTTTAAAAATCCCCATGGAATTTCCTGCTTCGGCTGACTTTAGAACATATTCAAATGCCTCATCTTTATTCATTTTAACCCCAATTCCTAAATAATAGCAATGACCAACATGATATATTCCGTCGGAATTATTCATGTTTGCAGATTTTTGATAATAAATGAATGCCTTATTTTCATCCTTTTCAGTTTCAATTCCATATTCATAGCAATAACCAAGCCAGAATGTTCCGGTTGGATCATTCTTATGTGCTGATTTTTGGCAATCATCGAAATTCAATGGAGCAATTTTACTTAATGTGTTGGTGTCTTCTGTTGTTGACATTTAGGTACAAGAAAGTTTATGTAGAATTGGTACATTTTAGTCAATTATCGTCATTTGAAGCACGTACGTACTTTGTATAACATGATACAAACAACTCTAAATGTAATGATGAAATTAAATCTATTACTTACGTATATCGTATAATTGAAGCCACCACCGAACCCTAAGGTGTACTAGGTTAAAATCACAAAAAAAAAAGTATAATTGGATCGCTTATCATTTATAACAAATCAAAATAATTATTTTACATTTGTTATTAATACATTATGATAGGATGGGGAGGGTCGACCCCAACGAGCTTTTGGAAATTAATTTGGGCCACTCCACATAAGCACCAGTAGTACGAAATGTATGTACTGTACGTACCAGGAACGTAGTACGAAATACGAAATGTATGTACGTACGTACGTACGCACAGCAGTATGAGATTTATTTATTTGCGGATAACGCAACCAAAAAAGGAAATCAAAAATTTAGGGTTATGACGTTAGGATTGTGAGCTTTAGCGATAAGTTGGAGTTTTTTTATATGTAAAATTTAATCCACGTTATTTTTTATTAGTTCACAAAGGTCGATTTAAATACTAGTTTTTGAGTATTTTCGCTTTCTTTTCTTTTTTTCTTCTCTCACACGTGATCGGATTCTATGTCGGGCTTATCCGGAATACTCGAAATTTGTGTTCTCTGATTGGCCATTTCCTTTTTAGAGTACTGTATTAGTGCTGCAAGCCGGCTTAGCCGGTCCAGTCGCGGCTGTGACGCAGTAAACATTTCGCAAACAAGCTTTTGTAGCGAATTTTTTGCATAAATACATTATTAAATGCTCTTT